TTTTTTTTTTTTTTTTTTTTATACTGGGGATTGAACTCAGGACCTTGCACTTGAAAGCCACACCCTCCCAGATCTAGAGTCTGAGGATGACTGTCCCACGGCTCCCTCCAGAGGGTCTTGGACAAAGAATGGCAAAACCCCACTGTGAGTTTCCAACTTTGTTGTGCAGCCATCAGTCAGGCACAGTGGATGCCGAAGCCCGCCTCGGGGGATGTGATTCTCTGAACAGTCCAAATGCTGAGATTCAAACATCCCTTGGTCAGCTTGACCTGGGAACACCCAAAACTTCTAGCCTCACATTTCTCAACTGTAGTAAACTCCTCTCTTCTTTGGAGAAACATCACCAAACTGTGCTCTCCTTTCTGAGATTTCAAAATAGATATTGCACATAAAAATAAATCAAAGAAGTCATCATCATATAAAGTGTGTTTTTTTCTAACTACAAAGATTGCCCAGTGATTCTGATACCAAGGATTGGGTGGCATGAGAAGAATGGAAATGGTGCTTGCTGCAAAGGTACAACTCTCCCAAGGACTAGGGCTTTGGGGTTTAACTCAGAGAAGCTTTAACACACTGGTATCAACATGTAAAGAACAAAGCACCAGAGGATACAGTCAGCCTGAGGCAGGTCAGGCTGCAAGCCTACAGAGAGGTCAGACAAATGTTATCTCATGAAGAGGCTCTATTTGCCCAAGGTCACAAAGCCACGCAGAGGCAGGGCTGAGCTTTGAACCCCCCCCCTTTAGTCCACAGGTTGGGTGTTCAGCCTTGTGGACATGACTGCTTCAATTAACTCCCTTGCCCAAATCCTTCCCACACCTCATGTCCACAACGCACTGAAAGATACATGTAAATCATCCTCACTAAATAGTGGACATGGTGATTCCATCACTGGACAGGCAGACACATTTGGGAAGTGGATAAAGGCTATAAATGCTCTCTACAGAGAATGCTTACCCTCACACAACTTGTCTACAGGTTCAGGGAGCCACAGCCTCCAGGAAACTCATCAGGCATGCCTGGTCTCAAAGATCAGGACCAACTTAACCCAGTAAGCGTGACATATCTCACGTCCTGAGGACAAAAATTTGATAATGGGTGTGTATTACGTGGGTGTGTATTACGTGTGCACACACACTCACCCTCCCTGTACCTCAGTAACCCCGTGAGAGAAGCCTCAAGTTCTGCAGCCCAGCTGGGTCTTGTTTCCCTCCCAGTCACGGGTCACCCCCTACCCCAGGTATCAAATGTACAAAGAGGACAGCAGAGATTTACAAGACCCGCCAAGGCTTCCTCGTGACCCAACCCAAGTTTACAGGATGCAGTGTTCTTTAGTGAGGGACACTGGAAACCACATGGGGACTCGGGAACCTCCCCTACATGTCAAGTACTGGGCTCACACTTGAGGTTCTTTTTAGTGCTCACATCTGTGCCGGGGGAGTGGGTGTGGGTGTGGTTCTCTTTTCACAGTGAGGGGCGCCGGTCAGAGAGCAGGGAGGCCATTACTAAGTGAACTGCTCTGATGCAGTTTTTCCTTAAAATGTAAAACCAAGACTAACTGGAAAGGTCAGATAAACCGAAAAGGAGGGCTAGTCCACGACATACTTGACTTTCAAAGCTGCCAAGCTCATGAAAGGCAAGGGGAGATGGGGAAACTGTCACGGGTCAGAGGAAACTAAGGAAACAAGAGAAATCCAGAACTCAGATCCCAGATTGGAACCTACAAAAACAGCAACAAAAGTCGCTAGTAGAAAGACAGTTTAAATCCAGACAAAGTCTGGAGTCTAATAAATCCACTGTGTTGATGTTAATGCCTTAGATGAACCATGTTGAGTTAGATGTTAATGTCACTGGAATCTGGCTAAAAATTACCTTTATCATTTCTTGGCAAATCTGGACTTACTCCAAAGAAAAATGGTGTGTGTGTGTGTGTGTGTGTGTGTGTGTGTGTTTTGGTACTGAAGACTGAACTCAGGTCCTTGTGCTTTCAAGGCAGGCAGCGCAAAAAAGTTGTTTTTTTTTTTAAAAAATAAACTATACTCATGCTACCTCAGAGTAGAAGTGGGTCCAATGCTGATCACACTAGGAGAAGCCAGTTAGTGGCCCAGTGGTCCCCACTTTCTCTTCGAACCTTTCAGTAGCCTTTCACATTGTTTACCATCCCCCCAATACCCCAACTGGGTGATATCTGCAGTCCCGGGGCACTGCCATCCCCACACCTGCACCGCGGAAAATGGAAAGTTCTCCCTAGAGTGCGCTGTGGCGGCAGGATGGGGCGCAGGCCTGGGGAGCCAGCTCGTGTTTGGCAGAGGCTCCTGCCCTGGCCAGTGTCCCACTGTGGGGGGCAGGGGTGGAGAGGGAGTGGAGCAGAGCAGCCTGGCCTCCAGCACTCTGGCCCAGGCACAGCAGGTGCACCCTGCTCAGAAGTGAGGCCTCATCCAGACTAGAGCTGCCGTGGAAGCCAGTGAAGTGTGAAGCTGCAGGAAGACGAAAATCACAAAACTCGGAGATGGAAACCAACACTGAAAAGTGTTATTATGGCCTCTCTCGTCACATCTGCTGCCCCACTGCCAGCCTGGAGCAGGTCCTATCCACGCCGCCATTGCTTCTGCAAGGCTGTTGTTGTGGGGCCTCCAGCTGGAGTCCCCTTCCCAGCTCCCCACGCAGGGGACTCCCATATCCTAGGGCTCAGGACCAGCACGTGTGTCTCCTCTTGGCTCAGAGTGCCCACAGCCACCCTGTGTCCCCATGACTCTCACACACACTAGAGTTCTGGGGCAGGCCTGCTGGCCTAGCTAAACTGAGCCCCCACACAGGGACAGGTCCTCCGGCCTCTGCCACTTGGGTAAGCTGGCTTCTGTGGAGTCCCGCACTGCGCAGCTCTGGGTCCAGGCCTTACTCCAGACGTGGGGAGCACCCACGTGCGTCTAGGGGATTCCCAGTAGCTGCAGACCCACGTAATAACAGTCTTTGTTTCCCATATAGTGTGGATCAATGAGGGTGAAATCGACGACCAATGACAAAACAAACAGCAAAGCTATCAAATCCCTAAAAATTTCAAGAATCCTCTCAAAATATGCTATCAACAGTTCTTTCCTTTCCAGATGAAGTAGATCTCTGAGCCAAAAAGGTTACTGTTCTATCTGTTCGGTCGTGCTAACCCTGAATGTCCCCAAGAGTGAACTCATTCAAAAACAAACCAAGTGAAACAAAAGCAACAGTCCACCATTGACCTTGAGCCAGGCGTTTCCCGTATGTTGCTGCCACCTCCCTGGGCTCTGCCCGGTGGGTATGACTGCTCCCCTTCCAGGGAGGCCACATCCATTGCCTTCAGCTCCAGAGTTGGCATGTGTGTCCCTGTCACCTCCCTCCTGCAGCCCAGCCCCAGTACAGACTCTGTCCTGGGTGGATGAGCTTTTGTAAACCAAAACATCTCTCTGAATTGGAAAGGAGCAGGTGGCAGAGCGCCTGTTCGCTGCCCCCACACAGCCGTGTTAATTCCCTCCTCTCCATCACCAAATCCCAGAGCTACGTCCCTGCCCACTCACCCAACTTCAGGCCTTGGAACCCTTTGAACAAGTTAGAGATGTGAGACTCTGGACCTGGACGGGCCAGAGACCTACCTTGTGGTGTTCAGTGGCTCCTCGTCATCATCTTTCAGATGGCTGTGCCCCGCCAGCCACGAGCTGCAGGTCTGAAGAGAAAGCCCATCCCCAGACGGATCTGTCTCCCCTTAGTCAGTTTGCATAGCTCGTGGCTTCCTGCGGCAGCGGCAGAGGTGTCGGGGCCCTGTCTGTGATCAGCGCTCCAGCGGCTGCCCCCCAGGAGCCCCTCCAGCTGCCACTATGAAGTCTTGTGTGAGCTCACCACGTCCCACAGCCGCTCTGCCCTAGAGAAAAGGGACCCCAAGCAGGTGACCTTCCCCTGGCCTTGGGCCACACTGGTCCCAGTGCCCCTCTACCACCCCAAGGTTTCCTCCTGAGGTTTTGGTTTAGTGGCTCAGCTAGAATTTTCCCACGCCGAGTCTGGCAGGGTTAGCAAACCTCCAGCCAACTACAGACTACTTGCCCTGCCTTGCAGACAAAGAGCTCAGGCTCTGCCTGTGCCAGCCACCTGTGGCAGCCAGGGCAGCATCGGCTCTGCCTTGTTGTTTGGTTTTGCCTTTTAAATGACACTAATAATAGCTAGGTCACAGGATGCCATGCACATTCAATGGCAGGGTGAGTGTGAACGGCGGGTACAAAACTGGTGCTCACTAAGTGGGAATGCCTGCTGGGTTAGGCAGCACGGCCGCACCTCAGAGCTGCTTCAGTGGGGCCATTTCACTTGGCTGTGAAGACTTAGAGGAGCAGAGTCAGGGCCCCGGCATCTGGAGTGTTGGGGAGTGTCCCGCTGCAGAGCAGGCCACTGAGGTGACTTGAGACCTGCTGACCCAGAGAGGCGGGGCGCCGCTGGTCAATGGCTTCTCCTCCAAGACTCAGGGAGCTGGGGCCTTCTGTTCCCTGATGGTCTGGGTCCCTTGAAGGGCTGCGAGGGTCACCTGCCAGTTTTTGCACCACAGCCTACAACCTGGAGCTTCTTTCCTTGGAGTTTTGGGTGCAGAACTCTTGTTGGAAAGTTTTCAAGGGGTGTTCGAAGTAGCAAAAGCAACACAGAGTTCTTGGATTTTAAGGCACTGTGGAAACAACCTGTTTCATTTCACCAAAACGTTTTTGTTTTTTTTTGTGTGTGTGTGTGAGAATAAGTGGGTTCATGTATAAAAAGTGCCTGTCACAGCTTTTAGCACATAGTAAATGCCACATACTGGAAGCTGGTGTGAGTACACTAATCTAAGTCCCAAATCTGGTCTCACGGTGTTTCATCTTCTCCTATACTTGGTTGCAAAGGGCTTAGGAAGGCGTCCAGCACCTTGAGCATGCTCAGTGCATGGTAGTAATCACTAGTGTACAATTACAGTGGCCTCCAGACATGTAAGAGTTGGACCTAAGGGTTACACAAGTTGAGAGAGTTCCAAACTCCTTAAATTTATGATTTTTAAAGTTACTGATTTGAGCTGAGAGCCGAGGAGCTGGCTCCTTCTTTCAATTCCATTATTGCAAAAACTTCTGATCATCTGCTTTGCGGCTTGTACACACTAGGGGCTGGTGGTGTAGCTATAAATAGGCACTGGCACCCCTGGGGACTCAGCCGGTGGGGTGTGGGGAGGGTGTCCTGGGGAAGGTTGCAGTGGGGTACACTAAATGTGGCTACAGTGGCCTAAGAGGGCACAAAGGCAAGAGCAATAACCCGGTCAAGGATTATTGGTGGAAATTATCAAGAGAGTGGCTCAGAACTAAGAATCCTACCGACTACCTCTCAGGCAGCTTCCTAGGTTGAATATTTTACTGAACAAAGACTTTGTGAAGCTGCTGGAATGACCTGTAACGCTTTATCAGTGGGGCCTGAATATATAATTTTTGGACAACACAAGTCCATAAATTTGGACTTGATGCTATGGAGAATATAACTCCAGTTTCCTAAGAGAAAATCCATTTTTCTCCAGCACTGGTTCATCTACTCCAGGTTAGAAGGGGAGGGGACCTGAGAGTTTGCAGAGGGGAGAGGTTTAACTGTGATGGCCTTGATGTGGCCTGGAAATAAGCCCCCTCTCTCTTCAACACGCACACACACACATATGTGCACACACACACACACACACACACACACACACATACACCCCAGCAGCTGCTCAGAAAAGAACAAGGAAATGACATAGAGCCTGGGTGCCAGGTGTCTGAGCAGAAGTGAAAGCTCACTTCAGCTACGTTCTCTCACAGTGTCTATGAGAAAAGCAGAAGGGAGGTGAGGGGAGAGGTTGGGGAGCAGTTTGCCATGCTAGGTGAAGCTAAGGGTGTCTGTCCTCTGTTAGACACTGTTGGTGGTGAACACAGAGAGGACCCTCTGAGCTGGGCTGAGACAACCTCAGCTCTGAAGCTTTCTGCCTCACTGCTCCCATTTATTTTTGCACATTTGAGGTGACTTATCCAAAATTCAGAGCCCTCCTCCCATGAGCCTACGCCAGCGTCCTGATAGCAGTTCGTCTCTGATCAGAATCGAAGCGGTGGGCAATAGAGTATTTGAAAGAGAAGAACCTAAAACAATCCAGTCCAAGATTCACCTCCAGGACGGTGGTATGAGAAGTTCAGCAGTTTCCTTTTGAAGAAGCAAATATAAAGCTAGACTAAATAGTAAAAACAAAAAACCACGTCAAGGATCTAGATAATAACCAAAAACAGAAAACAGATTGAGGAGAATCTGCTACTGTATCTGAACGGGCATTTGTCTAAGGTCTTCTCTCCTGGAGGCCGTCTTGCTCTCTTGGGTAAGGAAAAGCACAAGTTTACTGGTAAGAGTAGTGTGCTTGGCTAGAGACTGTCAGTGATGACAAACAGCAGAAGATAGCAGATTAGGTAGGGGGCGGGAAGATGAAAACCAGTAGTTTTGTGGCCTAATGCTAATAGAATCAGTTCTAGACAGGAAGTGAAAAACTGTAACTTTATCTGCTTGAGGTTATATTTTGGTTCAGTGTAGACAGAGAATCAGCCAGAATTGCAATAGGGAGATCTTGCAAATAAGAGGAATATGCAAGAGTTGATATAATAAATATGCTACATGTTCTTTCTTCTTTTTTAAAATGGTACCAGGGATCAAACTCAGAACCTTGTGCTTGTGAGACAGGGTCCAGAACCACTGAGCTGAATCCCCGGCCCCATCCTATGTATTCTTAAATGACTGCTTAAATATGCATATGTGAGGCCAGGGTGGGGGAGACCCACGAGGGTACAGCAGAAAGTGAGAGTCAAGGACGACTGGAGGTCTGGCTGCAGGTTTGAAAGTGTTCCTCCAACCGTGTGGGGTGGGCAGCGGAAGGTGGAAGGCTCCTTGTTCGAGGCGTCTGAGAATAAACTCTGTCGGACTGTTTGGGTGATTTTGATAAAATGAGGGAAGGGAAGACATTGTGAGGGGACAAGACTGCAGATAAAACCCATAAAATACTCATGAAAGCTACACTGTGACGTTAGTGATCACACACCATGGAAGAAAATAAAATCTGTAACATGAAAACAGATTAATTTACTAAAACAAGGCACAAGGCTTTCAGGGAAATAAAACAGAAATCAGAATTACTGCAATATAAGAGAGAGACTGGAAAAGGATAAGTATATAAGTAGGTATTTGGGGAAAAATGTTTAAAAGAAACAGAGACGAAACAAATAGGAGGGGGAAATCCTTGGAGAACACGGAGCACATGCAGGGTGATTTTAGGAAAAGCAAAAAAATTAACTTCCATAAAACAGGAACAAAGAAAACAGAAAAGCAGAAATCATGAAACACTTAAAGAAAATTTCATAAAGTGAAAGGCCTGTTCCGGATTGAAAAGGTCCACTGAAGACTGAGCATAGTTATAAAAATAAACACATATCAAGGGCCGGTACCACAAATTTCAGAAAGATGAAGTAAAGAGAATTCGCATGAGTTTCCAGAGGGAAAAATGGGTAGCAGCAGGTCAATCACCAAAATAGCTTCCGATTTCTATAAGTAACACTGGAACCTAGATACCGTTATTTAGTTTCCACTCTGTGTGAATGTTTCCATTTGCTTACTATTAGTGACTTCTCCTTTTATGCCACTGTGGTCAGAAAAGATGTTTGGCATAATTTTAATCTTCTAAGATTTGTTGAGATTTATTCTGTGACTGGACAAGTGACCTACTCAGGAGACTTTCCCACGTACCTGTGCAAGTATGTATTCTCTTCTGTTTTGGGTGAGACCGTTCCTGGATGTCTGTGTGAGGCCCATTTGACCAACGGTGTTGTTCAAGTCAGCAGTTCGCTCTTTTCCTGTCTGGATGTTCTATCCGTTACGGAAAGTAGGGTATTAAAGCTTCCCACTCTTACTGTATTGCTGTCAATTTCTCTATTCAGATCTACCTTATCTGCTTTGTGTATATTTAGGTGTATATATGTGTATATATATATTTATAGTTGTGTTATCTTCCCATTGAATTGACTCTTTTATTATTATATAATAACCTCTATTTCTAGACAATACTTACAGACACTCATATTGCCATCCTTATTGATTTTTTTTTTTTTTTTTTTTTTTTTTTGGTTACAATTTGTATCTCTTTTCCATTCCTTCACTTTCAGTCTATGTGTATCCTTACACCGAAAGGGAGGCACAGAGGCAGTTCCGGGCGCAGGGGCTGCAGCTGCAGTTCTGGGTGTGGATGGGGCAGCGTGGTATGGGCCCGGCAGCCCCATCTGCTGGGGTCGGCCCTGGTGAATGCTGCACGCTCTTCAGTCACCATGGCAACAGCAAGGCTGCTGGGATTCCCAGTGGAGAAAGCTGCTGGATTCCTGCTGCCTGCCTTTTCCCCGCGAAGGAAGTCAAGGCCAAGGAAAAACTTCTTGGCATCGAACCATGTCTGAGGTCGGGCTGACGCACGCAAAGAGCTTCTTACACTTTTCCACGCCACCATCCTCAGTTTCTGCGCTCCCCATGGGGTTTGCAGCTTCCTAATCGCACTGTGGAGCCCGCCCAGAACTATTTTCATCTGTGGCCATTGTTAAATTGTTGCATTTGTGGGTGAACAAGGGGTGGGAGCTCCTAGCCTGCCACCTTGCTGATGTCATTCCACATCTATTTTGCTTTTAAATGTTAGTTTGACCAACTGGGTTGATTGTCACTATCATTCAGGCATCGAGCCCCACAGACCACAAGCAAACGCTGGTGTGGAGTTCCTGGATGGGAGTCTGCTGGGCTGAGAAGCTGTTGGATCCCAGAGGACGAGCTTGGGCGCTCCTGCTAAGTAGTGTCAAGTTGGAATCCCAGTTGTATAAACCTCTCAGCCGTGAGCTTCCGGCTGTGTCATCTGACTGCCAGGGACTCCATTTCCTTGTCTCTAAAGTGAGGGTAACAAGGTCCACTCCTTAGGGTTCTTGTGACAGCAGGTCTGAAGGTGGCTGGATCTCAAAAGTCACCCCCAAATTTTTGTTACCGTTTCTTTTTAGTTAAAGACACAATGCACTCAGCAAAG